TGGGTCCACCGGTGCAGAGCCCCAGTGAGATGAATGTGGAGTGGGTGGGTGTGTCTCCGGTGAGATGAACGCGGAGTGGGTGGGTGTGTCTCCCCTAAGGCCAGCCAGAGCACTTGGCTGGTCCCACGTGACACAGACACAGACACGGACACGTCACACTCATTATTCTGAAATACAATGTCGGGCTGAAAACTCAGGGTTCTTTAAAGCGGCCTGTAAATTTGCAGGGCAGGATTTAATATTTCTTTGTATGAATTACCAACGTGATGCTTTCATTTCTAAATTAATTAGGCTCTTTATAAAGCACCATGCATTTTTATGGTCCATTGCTTTTTTTCCATTTTCTTATTAATACTGACTTTCTTGGCAGTCTTCATTAATGACTTCAGTGCCCAGATCTGTAGTTGCTTAATTTCCTGACACACTCACTCACTCACTCACTCACTCACTCACTCACTCACTCACTCACACACACACACACACACACACACACACTCTCACACACACATACGTATGTTTGTATTCATACCTTTATGGGGACCATCCATTCATTTTCTTTGGGCAAAATCCTAATCCCAGCTCTAAACTTAACCATATGTAACCAAATAAAATACAAGACTTAACATGTTGGGTTTTTCAGTTGTATTCAGAGATTTTTTACAAAATTGAGTTTCTCCTTGTGGGGACCAGAAAAATGTCCCCACAAACTCAAAATAGGAGGTTTTTGATCACATTCTGGAGGACATTTGGTCCCCACAATGTAATTAATACATAACACACACATGCACTTGCCTACCTACCTCCCTACCTCACTTTCTCAGGCGTCAATATCGCTCCTTTACTTTTCAACTTGACTCCTTTCATGGAAAGTCACCAGTCATCCTCTGTCTGATCCATATGTCATGTGGTCTTGCTGAGGCTCCAGGCAGGAGAAGGTCCTCACTACGTATGAAAGCCAGTCACTGTCCGGGGACCTCGGGCCACTAAAACCAAGGTTTCAGCTGTTTTTTGACTGGCATATTTCCCATGTTGCTTTCAGAAGAAAAGATGTTCCTTTGTTCCTCTAGCTCTTACACGCTCCTCCAATAATTATGTTACTATGAGAAAAGTCACCTGACATGTGCCTTTGGGGTCAATTTGATCCCAGGGTAGGTGTGAGCGCTAGACTTCATAGATAGGCATATTAAAATGATCATTTGGTTAATTTTCCCACAGTGCATTACATACTGCATGTTTCCTCATATGAAGGTATCATTTTTCTAGCTCAAGGGCCAGCAATAACAAGGCCGTCATATGAAATCTACTTGGTATATACTTATTTGTTTAATATATGTAGCTGAACAATAAGTAGGAGGGCAGGATCCCATAACATAACTCAGGAAATGAGTTGGTTTCAATGTTCATTCTTCTCTTCCCTCCTTGTAGAGTCTTATTAGAGTTTCCATAGTTTCCAGCAAAAGCCTCTCTGACCTTGTCGATATTCAACACCGAAGTCGTCCCGGGACACGGTGGGGGCACGCCCGCTTTTGATTTTCCATCACTACAGTGAACGAATGTACAGCACCTCTCCCTGGGTGCTTTCTAAGGCCAACGCGAGTTATGTCCCATCTTGCTAATACACACCCAATCACTGCCCATTCAGTTTAGCTGGCTTTGTGAGGAAGGCTCCGGAGGTTTGCGCCCACGTTGTTTAACAAAGTTGCAGGTGTGGTTTGCCCTTGTTGTGATCTGTGTGTACAACACTAAGGACCGAACACTGGAATGTCTCTCTGAAAGGAAATCTGGACACAGGACACCATCTTACTGGCTGAAAAGGGCAAGGGACCTTTTCTTTTAGCTTAATTTCTGTGGGATCTCATTGCTTTCCACTGAAGCAAAGCATCTTCTCCAACCTGGGTCCCCTATATGACACAGTTTGAACACTAGGGGGCACCAAAATAATTTCACACACCATCACACAAATTCATCCCTCAAATTCACCACAGAAAATGTAATGCTGTGTTCCAAGTGCGTGGAATCATGGTTTTTGAGGCTGTAGGCTGTCACATAGTCTCAATGTATCCTGCATCCCAACTAACCTTACGGAGACTGGGAGAAGTCAGTTTTCCCATCTGTAGTAAAATGACATGTGAATGAATCTGTTGGTGTGAGAGGCCATGTTCTGCAACTTTTTTTTGTGGAGCCTAACAATTGGGGTATTAAAATAACCTCAAGGGCAGCTTTATGTTTTTGACAGTTGATGGTTGATGCAGATCCGTACGATAAACATTTTTTGTCCCTCTTCAAGCAGCTGGGATTAGGGATCTAATGTTAGTTTTAAGTCCACTTATCTCCTAAATAATTCCAAACGTTCCCAGAGCACAAAGGGCTTCCTTAAAGTGCCACTGGAGCCAAAATCACTAGCAGAACTCTGATAGGTGCAGGAAAGGCACTTGAGTTAAGGAAGCCACCCTTCTTAACAAGCCAAATGGTGTTTGCGGTCAGGACCTGGCGGGATTGCCTTTTTCTGATGGTTGCCATGGCACATGTGAATTCAGCCAGTAAGATGGTGTCCTGTGTCCACATTTCCTTTCAGAGAGACATTCCAGTGTTCGGTCCTTAGTGTTGTACACACAGATCACAACAAGGGCAAATCTCCACAGGACGTCTGGACATGAAAACTAGGATTTTAGTACATTTCCCCACCACAACTTTTTCTCTGCTGGCCTATGTGTCCACATACAGATATATATACCCAGTTTCCATAATGAGAAAAGTCTGTTGAGAAAGTTAGACCATCTTATTGCCGTACTCTGTAAAATTGTCAGTTTTATGATTCCCCATGCTTGGGACTTTAGCTAAGTAGGTTGCATAAAGATTTCTTTGAGACCATCAACAAATGAACTCATAAAGCCTGCATGATCGCAGAGGCCCGGAGATAATGAGTAGAGCAGAATGACCAGTGTGGGGAAGCGGAAGGTGAATTATTTGGGGTCAGCCTTAGAACATTGTGCTCCTCTATTACATCTACTGAAACTTCCGTCTTAACCTCATTCTGTGTTAATTCTAGTTGTGACCGAGTATCTGGATTAACTCTTTCAGCGATTTCTCACAGGTGATGCCTTGCCCTACCTTAACTCTCTTACACAGTTCCAGTAATACCTCTTCACTTCTGGCTGAAGGCACTCAGGAATTTGGACCTTATGTTTGGCTCTTACTGGCTGCAGGAAGATGATTTCTAACAAGAAGCGAGACCTCCCTGATTCATTAATGATTCAAACATCATTTAAAGTAAAAACAACAGCTCCAGTTTCATTATTGCTGATTAATTCCATGTATTTACTGCTAAAATAGAAAAACACTGGATATGGGTATCACCGCTCATCAGACCATTTAACAGTTTAATAAAGCCGCTGGCACAGTCAGTGAGATCTATGTGTTATTTTCAGTGTTGCTGATTTAATCCAAAATCTACTCTGTTTACAGCAGCATATTTTTTTCATTCCTACCTATCATATTTAGGTCTTACAGATTTGTCAGGTAAGAGTAAAATTCTCCCTCCAAATATAGCATCCATGTGAAACAAAAACACATACCTCACATTTTGGAACTGGTCAAAACATGCTTTCAATCTGCTGATCATGGTCTCATGACAAGGATATTCTGTATTAGATTACAAACCATGAGTTGATGACTTCGATGATGGCACACGGGCCTGTTTCAGAAATGTATGAATCCCACCCATCTCTCATCGTTTCCCGATGAGGGTTGGTGCATCAGTCATTGTCTCATTCAGCTCAGCGTCTGCAGTGGTAGTGGTCACGGCTCATATACTCAATGAGACACACACCCACCAGTGTAGTAGATGTAACCATAACTCCCCCCCTCCTTCCCCAGTGTAGTGGGACCCACTGAGGCAGTGAGGGGCGGCTGCCTTCATCTGTTTACCATTTTCTCTTGGATATTCTCCGGCCAGCAGGACCCTGTTACTCACAACCCTCACCTCCATTTCCAAAGATTTATTGTAAACTTTAATGAAAAAAAACAACACTCCCTGACCA